AAAAGAAATATATGATAAAGAGTCTATATGTTGACATTTTTCTTTTATTCTACGACCTGGAGGAAAAAAAAAAGTCTAAAATAACTTGCAAGCAAAGGATATTAGAAAGCAAGTTAGCAAAAGGGTAAGCTTAGTAAAACCATTTTCCTAGCTCAATTTCTTTTCATGAGACTTCAATCACCTAGTACTTAGTCGGGGCTTCAATGTGGGCATCCAACATTGGATGGGAAACAAAAAAAAAAACTCACGTACTATAATGAATTTAGTGATAGAAACCTTATAGGTCGAGTCCATCAAATTAAAATCATGAATTTGCTTTTGCAACCGAACTCAATGCTTTCCACACAAAACATCGATGTATGTGCGAAAACTAACTTAAATTTTCAAGAAATTTTCAATTCTTGAACTTGAAGGGAAGCTGAAGGAAGCCTTGGAGCAACAATAAAATAATCTCCATGTGACCTATAGGTCACAAGTTCGAGTGTTGAAATCATCCGAAAAAACTTGCATCAACCCATTATCCTTCTCCAAATCCTACATCAACGCGGGATGCTTCGTACACTGAGTTCTCATTTTATTAAATTGTAATCCCATTATACCTCAAAAGTTGCTCAACACAAATAAAGAAACATACAAAAATCAACACCATAAAATAAAAGAGAGAATCAACAATTTGCTGCTTTGATTATATTTTCTCTTTGTAAACAATGTTAGAAAATGACTTAATAAAAAGAGACACTAATAAAAGTTTAGAAAAGGGTAACTAAAAAGCTTAAATTCCATTAACACTAGAAAGAGAGAATAAATATTCATTTGAAAATTTAACTTCTATAATAATTATATAAAATATTTTTTCATGATAAGATATTATCTAACTGATTACTACAGTTAATTGTCCATGGAAGTAAGACTCCAATATAATGGTGTAAAAAATATATGACAGGTATAACAAGTTAAAATATACCAATAGTGTAATTTTTTTACATTCCTAATTGTGGAGCTAGGAAAACGCAAGGGGTTCATACATAAAATCGAAATTTGACACTGAACCTATAGCTTGTTTTAGTTACTTTCACGATTATATACTTATATGTAGTTATAAATATGGTATCTGAGCCTAACTCCACCCTAAAAATTAGCTCATAAATGAGGATTGCTCATTCTTCAACCAACATGGCTCTAACAATATTTAATGCATTTTTTCTAATATAAATATAAGGTCTAAACGAAAGGCTACTTTATTTGTTCGAACCCCTACATAATATTGTAGCTCCACCTATGTATACATAATACACGTTGATTGTTGAATTTTCTTGATTTCTTCATGTGTACACTACATATTTTGAATCACTTTTTGAAAAATCTCATTTTTGCCACTGCCTTCCACCCCTGATCTATTATAAGTTCAACAATACGTTAAATTTTTCATACTGTCAGTATATATAAATCAACTTCCTATTCCTCTCTCCCACCCTCTTTTATAAGTTCAACAATAACACCATTGGTAGAAGGGAATCAAAGTAGTGTGTTGGTCCTTTATCATTGACAAATTATATTTATAAATAAGCTAAGATCTTCTCATGTACTTTTTCTTTCTATTATTCTTTTTATTTCCTCTTTTTGGCCTGTGCTTTTAGTTTAAAGTTATGGTCCACTTTATCTTATTGAAAATTATATAGTAGATTGAAAGTGACCACTGTATTAAACAGAATGGCAAAGGTTGTTATCAGGAGCAAACTGGAAATATAAAAGTTTAATTTTTTTTGAAATAATCATCATATCATATCATCATATATTATTAAAAGTGGAAAGCTCTTATCTTTAAAGTTGAATTACCATTTTATGGGTAAAACTTACCCGCACCGGGTGTATACACCAATCCAATACATGCATGCCATGTGTTTAAATTTACAGTTCATTTTACTTAATCTTAATTAACTAACATGTGTTTTACTTCATTAAATCAAGTAATAATGAAAATTGCATTAGTTTGGTGTAAACACCCGATGCGAATAAGTTTAAATACTATTTCTATTTTTAAATGTACAAAATATAAAAATATATTCTAATAACTAATTAGATAAATTACTTACATGTACAAAAATTATAACCACATATTCTAGGCAATTAGTATATAGATATAAATGAATATTAAAAGAGGTTGCCTAATAATTATGCTTAATTAATGATAAAAAATTTCAGGAACAACATACACTCTATCATCTTAATGATTGTAAACTTTACAAATTATGGATGAATGAACGATAACAATGTATAAATATTAATAAGAGGGTATTAAACATAATGTATTTATTCCTATTAGAATACAATCATATATTTTCACTCATAAACAATTGTATGTTGCACTTTTAAGTGGGATATTAATGTCCCACAACAAGAGTCTGATAATGGCAAATCAACCAAAAACAAGTAATAAAATATACATCAACGCATCGTCTATAAGAAAGTATTGAGTAACATACTAATACATTACAAGTTTGGACCTTAGAACATAAAAATGTAATAACTCATTATGCATTTTAATCATCAAACTAATTTTTTTTAGGTTAAGGGAGTATCTAATCATTTGGCATATACGACAAAGAAGTCATTTGAATAAATTGATTGTTCGATCTATTGTAAATTATATACTTTCGTTGAATTATTTGTGATACTCATCACAATACAAATTTAATATAACTTATACCATATGCAACATTTTCATGGGACTCAGGTGCAAAGCACGTGTCCAGAACTAGTAATATAAATGGGGTGAATCTAAAATCTATAATTCAGAAAAATTATGATCTTATTGTATGTATATATTTTAAAATTTTGTTTTACATATTTATTCTTGATATGACTGACGGTCTCACAAACCTTTTTGTTCGCTTAAAGTGCAGTCTGCCTGCTAATGGTCATAAGGTCCAAAGGGTTTAATTGCCCAATTACGGTTTCCTCCCAAAATTGTATTTAGGGGTGTTCACGGTTTGGATAAAAACTGATTCAAACAGAAAAATTGAACCAAACCGATAAAATAAACCGATTTTATTTGGGTTTGGTTTGGTTTGATTTTTAGATTTTTGAAAATCACTAACATTTGATTTGGTTATGATTTTATTCAAAAAATCGAAGAAATAACTGAATCAAACCGATAAATTATATACATATATTTTATTAATATACATATTTAATATATAATTTTTATAAACAATTTTAAATATCTTATATATGTTTTCATTAAAATTTCTTTACAATTTACTTATTGAAAGCAAAAATATCTAAGGTGAAAATATTTATCTTATTGATTTCATGTATATGAGTATCTATAACAATTCCCTGTGGGACTGAAAACGTTATTGCCTCTTCCTTCTAGGCCAAAATGGTAAATTTTAAAGCTTTATTCATAGTAAATTCAGTGATCGAAAGTTTAGTAATTTCAGTCATTCTAACTATTTTTTGTTTTGAATGGGTTGTTGTCACTTTTTTCACATTTTGAATGAACTGTTTCTTTTATTTTTGTGTATGGTTAATAACCGAACCAAACCAAACCAAACCGAAACTGATAACCACCAAACCGATAAATATATATTATATTTGGTTTGGTTTGATTTTGATAATTTTAAAACCGATTAAGTTGATTTGATTTTAGTTTTGACCAATAACCGATCAAAACCGACCCATGAACACTCCTAATTGTGTTATAGATATCGAGCTAGAAATAGGAGTTAGACACCCTCCACTTTTTACTAGTTAGAGAGACCCCCTTAATATATTGAGAAAAGGTATTCGTCTTGCTAGAAAGACTAAAAAAAAATTCAAATGATATTTTGATATGCTACACGTATTTTAGTTTGAAATCACATGATCTAAATGTTTCTTTCTTCTTAAATTTTGTGTCTTGATCAAAACAAAACACATAAAAATGAAAAAAAGGAGAGTAATACTTGCCAACAATTTATAACCATGAAAATGTAACTATCAAAATATGATGAAATTAAATAGACTACAAAACATTTAAATACCAAAACCAGAGACTTAAAAACCTACCATTTAATTACATTAGTAGAATCTGTTTCACTTACATTTATAAAAACATAGACACAAATCCACACATTGTGGCCAATTGATTGGCGTTAAACTTCATTTTACTTTCATCGCCATTTTAGTGAAGCACGGGAGATGGGGTGACTCAATAAAATGTTTGGCCTAAAGCCAAAATTTAGAAAAGAGAGTTATATTTATTTAAAATTTTTAATATATTTTATTTTCATAAATACTAAAAAAATATTGTAATTGATTATAATTTAATAATTAATTTTTCTTTTTCAATTGACCATATTACATTTCTTGCAATATTTTGTAAGAAGAGAATAAACATATATATAAATTATTGTACATTATATAACAACACAAATGTTTAAATCTCTTTTATTGATTATAATTTTGAAAGCTTTTTCAATAAAATCAATTGTTACATAAATTATTAAAATTATTCTAAAAGTGTTTAAAATAAAATTAAGATACTTATATAATATTTCGTAATACTTTTAATTACAAAAATCAATATTATAGTGATTGTTACCTTTAGAAGACATCCAAAGTCAAGACAATATATTTTAATTTTTTTTAATGACGCTACCCTTTAGATGCGCTCATGGTAAAACCTCTGCTCCTATGCAATAACTCGCACACCACACAAGAGAGGCAACCCGCACCAGGCTCAATCCAAAAGGCAAATCCCTTTGAACTTGTGACCTCCAACATAGAAGTCCCAAGCCCAAACCACTGGACCACCCCCAAAGGTTATTTGTTAATTTAATTAGTTTGAACTTGAAATGTTTAATAAAACATTTGAAAGAATTGAATACAATCTTACACAGACAATATTAAAACAATTTAATTGTCTACTATTTTTAATTATAATTATATCAATAATAAAATTTCAAAAATATGTGCATAATAACTAGTAAGAGATTGTGATATGTGGGTAAGAGATTAGCAACAAACTATAAGAAAATTTTAATTAATAGTAACAATAAATGCATAATTTCTTTTTTATATTCTACTTGGGTATTTTGTTTCTTCCAAGTGTTAATACAGTGCTTCTTACAATTGCCTTCATCAGATCTGGTGTTCTCTTTTTTATGTATGCATCTCCTTCATCTTTTGTCTGCTCAGTGCTTTTGTTTTTTTGGGGCCTCTAAAGCCACTGCTTTAGTGGCTTTAGGGTTGAGCCGCGATGGGAGACAAGAGCTGGGCATTTCCATTGACATGGCGAAGAAGTTACTTATAATTCTACAGCAAATTACGTATTCAAACATGGTACAAAATGAATTTGATTCGAGCCAGGGTGGGAGGAAAGGACATGATATTGGTTTTCATTTGAATGTTGAAAGTCTTAGACTCAAAATCGACCTGCCCGAATATCTCTGTCAATATGTTCTGCATTGAGGGTTCCTGGAAGTTCTCGAAAATCTTCATTGAATACAGAATATGCACTGCAAAGGACGACAAAAATTTGAGGGTCACCATATTTAGCAAAAAACACATACTATTTTTATGTGCTTCAGTAGTTTAAGTTGGAAATCCAAAACAAGAACACCAGACTCTGTAAGCATGTCAATACGCAGATGAAGACGCTTAATTGAGGCTATCAATTGAGGCAAACAAATTTATAACGCAGTAAATGAGTGTCCAAGTGGTTTCGACGAAATCTATCTTCTCATCACAGATTAAGAAAGAGTTGTGCCTCTCACACAACAGAAAAGCATATCAACTTGGAGGTTTAAAAGTTAACAAAAGGAATAAAGACTTCTGTATCTAAAGGTTTATATATCTACAAAATCGCGTACCTAAGTTCTCCCTGCTTCCGGTGTCCAAGATTATAAAAGATGAGGCCAAACCCAGTCGCCAGTAACTGCATTAAGTTAAGAAAAGGATTAATAGTACTCCGATGTTCTTTTTCCAAGACCATACAGGAATTCTGCTTTCTCAAATTGAGAAAAAGTAACAATTTGTTGACTGTTTTAGTAATTCATACACAAGAGGCCTTAGCTCTTAGCTAGTTAATTCTAAGATTCCCCAGCACACGTGTACATGCTGCAGGTAGTTAGCTGTTCAAATAATTCATAAATATAAGAGAGCATAAGAGTAGACATTTACACGGTATTTAGTATATATTTAGCTTTAGAAAAAGTACACTTTAATCCTTTTATGTATCAAATATGTTTAATCATTTCTAACTCCTTATATATAGATTCTGGGTAATTCCAAAGCTAGTTTCAAGGTGATATAATCAGTAATTAATGTGACATTATCTTCCATGCAAACTTGAGTGCTTATCGAGGAATAGAAGTATCAGTTTCAGCAAAATGTCATTAGTTTTCCCCGCTTTAATCAAAGCACAAAGAACCCAGCATTATATGACAGAATCTGCAAAACGACAGTTCAGTCTATTGAAAGCTTACAGAAACACAGAAAGTGACTCATAAGAAGCTATTAGCAAGTCCGAGACTTTTCTTTCTTTGGTAAATCCCATCCCAAAGCCCCCTCCTCCTAGGCGCCACCAGTGGCATTTTCCATTCCCTCTTGGTGACTAAAACTCATATCTCTTGGTTGGGAGTAACGGATCAACCACTAGAGCAATCCTCTCTTGTCAGTCTGCGACACTATGGCAATTGGCAGCTACTAACCCGCATATATGTTAGTACAAAAATCTAAATACTGTAAATCAAAGTAGGATCTTCCTCAAAAATTCTTCTATTTAGAGCCCAACGTATGCTCCTAAGCATATATACATTCAGTCAACATTGTGGGATAATACTGTTCTGAAAAATTACTGAATCATAACACAAATAAATCTGCCATATATATATCACAGCAAATGATTGACCAAATGGCTCATATCACGAATAAATCTTCCATATATATATCACAGTAAATGATTGACCAAATGGCTGAACTTACAAATAAAGGTGCAACCTCATATCTTCGCGCAATAGAGGCCAGAATGAACCAAGTCATGATAATAACCCAAACCTTTGGACTGATGGAGAAAATTACCATCAAGAGCATATCTACAAACAATTGAAAAGGGAATAGAACAGGTGAAGAGGAATAAGAAGATAGTTTTACAGTAAAGATAAGAGAAATGAAAACAACTAGTCAGAGCTTCACCTGGAAATTTCAGTTTATCACGTAGCAGATAAAAAAGTTTCCTCTTCCACTTACTAGTTGATGGGGGTAACTGAAACCTCTGTTTATAGAAATGGGAATAATAGAACTTGTAAATCATTGCAAAACGAAAAAAATGAAATAACAGAAGAGTGCACATGGGAGCTGGATTCAATTTCCAAAACAGACAACAATTAAATTTCCTATACATTTGCGACATTTATTTTCCACTCACCAGTTCATCATCATCGTCATCCTCAAATTCATCACGAAAATGCCTAGGAGGTGGCTTTGGTTTGACAGCAACTATTAGTGAATCTACAAAAAAAGAATTTCAACCTTGTTATATAGAAAAAGAAGTTCCATTAATTATGATCTAATAAAATAGCAATGAAAATGTGAAAGTGGAACAGCATCGAGGAACAAATAATCAAGAAAACAACTTAGTAGTGAAGCAAAGAAATGTGCGCAGAATAGCCAAAAATGACTTGTGGGATTAGCACTCTTAACAATTGTAACCACAGGAACAGTTTTCCGTCGTTTGATCAAGATTTACTGAACAGCGCCACTAAAGGAAGACTCAGAAACAAACAGAGCCTTCGAACTGGTCTATTTTTTACAACTTCTTTGGAATGACATATGACCAGTTTGTTTCCTTTTAGGCTAGGAATTTCCATAGCATTATGTCTGCTATGGAAATGTGAAAGTGGAACAGTATCCAGGAACAAACAATCAAGCAAATAACTCAGTTATGAAGCAAAGAAATGTATGCAGAATCAATATGCAACAGAACAGATAGTTTGTTAATAATCGTCAAATTTATGCATGTGTGCATGTTCTACTAATTCCAACTGCAAGAAGTAAAAGAGATCAAACAAAATGATACCTCTATATATACACATACATAAAATCTGTTGCATAGTGCACCAAATGTGAGCAACCAAGAAGAAAGCTAAGGAAAATAGTAAGGCGGCCAACTAAAAACAACAACATTCAAACAGTGAATAGGAGATTCAGACAGAAAAGTAGCATGAGGCACCCAAAATCCCCACACAAATCATGTAAGCAGAATCAATATGCAACAAAACAGAGAGTTTGTTAGAATAATCTTCAAACTTATACATGTGTGAATTTCCCACTCATTCCAATCGCAAGATGACGAAGAGATCAAAACATCACGGTACCTCTATATCTCACATACATAAAATCCTCCCATGTATAGTTGTTACAATATATTATGCAAAATGATTATATCAACTTTGGTAATCAATAAATTGATAAAAAATTGCACCTCCGTTGTTGAATTGGACTACTTCGTCATCTCCATTTTCACTATCATGCAATACATTTCCTCGCAGAACAAGTCTTAAATTTTCAATAGGCATATGTCGATTCCCAGCAATCATCTTTCTCAATTCATGTACCTAGATCACAGAAAATGTCAAAACATATTCAGAACAACTCCAGGAATTTAATTTATAGGCATCTAAAACGATAGCTGACAAGACAAGTTTAAACATCATCTTTTCATGCACTTCTACAACCTTTTTCTTGTGATTAGAAAAACATCAAGTTACTAAGGAGATATTTCTTGATTTTTTGCAAAAACTTGAATGAAGAGCCACTTTAGGTATCAACAACTTCTCATTTATCGATTCCAAATTCCTTTTTTTAGTAACAGTAGTCTCTGGGATTAAATGAGGATTCATATACCCAACCCAGCTTATTTGGGATTGAGGTGTAGTTGTTGTCGTAGTAGTCTTTGGGCCATCACAGGACTCACAAACTTGGATTTTTTTGCAGGAACCCTATGTAAGAGAGGCCTGGAAAAGAAGGTAGGCATGCACTGGGGTAGCATAACACAGGGAGGAAGATGCATATGGAAGACAGGGGTACTTGTGAAATAACTATCCTGAGGGAAGCCAGCTTGGGCACAACTCAACTGTTTCCACCATGTACCTGCTGGCTGCTATTCTACTACCTCCCACTAACACAGGTATCAGATTACTCTGCCCACCAAGACTTAGGCAGATCGATGGGAAGAGATCATATAGTTTTTTTTCTCTGATGCTATTTGAACCCTGGACTCTAAAACTTGCATGGCTCATTGATCATATGCCACATCCTTGGGCACATGATTCAACATTTTCCCTATGTAGGGTCTCCATAGACAGTTCCAATCATTTGCTACTTGTCACATGCCAAATTAGAACTAGACTATCAGAATACTATAGGGATCTCTTGACATCAAAGCAGACCAAACTTACAACTTGCCCTAGATTTACTCTAATTTTTTTCTTGACCACAAGGTGAAAACCAAGTGACTTGTTGCCACTCGGTTTTTCTGTAGACCCCACAAAGATTCTCAGTTAATTTCAAACTTATCTCAGTATCAGACTCTGAGTACCTTCATCAAAAAGAAATTATCACTCTGATTACACATATCCATGTACTACACCAAGTTCTCTCTAAGGCCATGCTCATTAAGCTCATAATATTTTCTTACTTCAGTCCACATTACTTTCTTATTTGTCCTGCCTGTACTCTGTCCACTTCCATTACTCTTTTATTAGTTCAATCCTGACTAATTAGGTATAATACTATAATATGAACCATAGCTGCCAGAATTAATATGCACTTTCATTGAATCATCGCCCCCCTTATGTTCACTAGTTTTGCCATGAAGTTCAGGTCACTATCTTGCAAACTTTATCCTTCCAACTGTCAAAGCATTAACTTAGCAAAAAGAAAGAGAAAAAATTTCAGCACTATACTCCATCCCAAACTTCATAATTTGCACAAAGACTACATCTTTCCAACAACGTTTACTCATTGCAAAATAGATTTTTTTTTAAAAACACGTTTTTCCTAGATGTGCCTCGAAATAGAAACATCATGCAATCAATTAACCAACTTCAGCTCAATTCCACATCAGCTTTGGATCTACAGTGTGAATCCTATATATCCATTACACTATATTCAAGTCTAGTTCATTCCCATACTTCAACAATTTGCCTTAAATACTTCAATTCCAGCTAGCAGAAATCGTCTATATGTATCCTTTATTTATCAAACTTGCATTCTAACCTTAGCTAAGTATGCGTTGATTACGAGCCATTAGAAAAACCAAAACCTAATTTCTCTCATTTGCGTGAATTTCGAGCTAGTACGATCAAAGGAATTACCTTGATGGAAGAAGGGACATTAAGGCGACAAGGCGGAGAAGGACCGATGATTTTCAGAAAGATTTCTACCATCTTCTTCTCTTCAATTTCATCCATGGCGCCGTAACAAAACCTAATTCAATTGCAAAATTCAGATGTTTTCTCCGACGGCGTTATGCTATAGCTACGATCACCTGCGCCGGGAATTTGATCTCCGGTCAAAAACTCTGGACTGTTCACCGGACGACTTTTGTAAACGTATTTCACTTTTTAATTATTCAATGCGAAGATGAAAAAGGAAAAATTGGGGAAAATGTATTTATCTACGTGGATTAAGGATTAATGTTATAAATTTCAACTCTATTTTCTCCTTTTCCAAAACTATATCTTAAAAAAAAAAAAGTTTCCAAATTATAAACTCCTGTAAATATAAAAAGTCTGATTACTAAACACACAAACTCGTTTTTACTGTGTCTCGTGGACATTCAATACTAACGTAACACATAAATTTTGATAATATATAGATTATCATTTGATAAGTTTGAGTGTTTATCGAGTAATATGCTTCATAATCAAACTTTGAGAGTTACTACAAGATAAAGTATTTGAAAATCATCAAAAATCAGAATTTTAATTTTCGTAAAAAAAATAAAATAAAATAAAAATCAATAATTCACTCTATTTTTTTAAGAATGAAATGACCCAAAATTTGTGTCAATAGAAAAAGTGGGTACTCCATAAAATAGTCAAAAGCGTATAAAAAGAACCTAACACCACTTATCCATACAATTTGTGTTTTAAAAGCACTAGAGTTCTGATTTTGAGTTCGAACTCTTGAAATAGAGACGTCTTCTCTTAGAAGAATTTTATGCAATATAAATTTGAATTAATCGAACCAGTTATATTGAAGTATATATACTTCCATGGGCTATCACAGTCCATACTAGTCCCATATTGCCCTTGTATTAACCTAACAAGGAGGATAACACCACTTGTGGCTTGCCACTCATTTCAAAAACACAAGATTTAAGGCTACCCTTTACATTCATTAGGTCACTTCTCTATCTACATATTTTGTTTGGTTTATACATTACATTTCGATTAAATTTAGAATCGTGTCGAAAAGTCCCACATTGGAATAAAAACGTTTTCTAATAAAAGCAATTTTGTATCCAAGACTCGAACTCACTATCTTTGGTGAAAATTGAAAGAAGTACTTACTGCTCCACCACAACTCTGCATTGGTTCTGTATGTATAATTGCTAACATGTTATATATCATTTGATCTCTCAAACTTTTAGGATGAGGCTTTCATTTTCCACCATTCAATGTTAGATAATATATATAAAAACCAGAAGTATATACTATATAGCAATATCAAAATCTTTCCCTTTGTTGACACATTGATAAAAATGGCTCTGAGAATGTGGGCTTCTTCAACAGCCAATGCACTTAGAGTCTCTTCTACTGTTTCAAGAACCAATTTTTCACTCTCTAGATGTTTTTCTACTGGTAACTTTTTTCAACTTATTGTTCTCATTAAAAAAAGAGTCTAAATTTGTTTATAGGGATGTTTACACAAATAACTCGATGCAAAGACAAAGTCAGAATTTTTAGTTTATGAGTTTTGAAGTACTATTCATTTTACTTACTAGGTTCTAAATAGATTATTTGTAGTTTGTTACATGGTGTTAATTTTGGCTCTGCTGAACTAGAATTTGCATTGTGGTGACATTTGCTAACCGATATACATAGATTATACACTGTTATACACATATTATACATCAGGTTATTTTTAATTTAAGTGGTTGGGTGAGCGGATGTTCATGATATTAATTCTTGTTTGTTGTTGTTTTGTTTTAACTTTATATTTATTTTTATTTTTTGGATATGTTGCAATTTGTAGTTCTTGAAGGGCTGAAATATGCATCTTCACATGAATGGGTAAAGCATGAAGGGTCAGTGGCAACAATTGGAATTACTGACCATGCTCAGGTTTTTCTTTGACTTTTAGTACTTTTCGTATAGTTTCTCACTTTTGTTTTGATAATATAGAAATCTCCGAGGGTTGAGATTATCAGAGGCAGAGTCAAGATTTTAACTTTATGAGTTCTAAATTCTAGGATAACGACATCAGATGTTGATAACTTGCTTCTGAATTTAATCTTTATACATATATAAAGTTTGAACTAAAGTTATTGAGTTTGACCGAACCTTTAAGTAACCTTCTAACTCTTACCTCAGGTCAAGTGACCTACTATTTGAAACTCGGTGAATAATGGGCTTACCCTTCTACCCTTCTCTGCGGTAGACTTGCATATAGTTCTCTATTGAATGTTGGTTGTATGTTATCAATTGATGACATTTTCATACAGTAAAAGCATAACTACAGGTAACCATCCTTAAAAAGTGCGGGATTTGTAATCTAGAAAATAAGACAGATTATCTGCTATAACATGTTATAGTACACCGATAGTGTAAAAATTCTTTACATCCGTTAGTGCATACGAGTTAAATCCATGAGGAAATGGTGTTTTCAGGATCATTTGGGAGAAGTGGTGTTTGTTGATTTGCCAGATACTGGTACTTCTGTTTCACATGGAAGTAGCTTTGGAGCTGTTGAAAGTGTGAAAGCCACCAGTGACATTAACTCTCCGATCTCAGGCGAGATCGTTGAGGTCAACACAAAGCTCAGTGAAACACCTGGTTTGGTAAATATCTACTAACTCATATATATATGTTCCAACTACTTCATTTTTTGGGCTAGTTGAAATCTATGTTGTTCGAACTTTTCAAAAAATGCAACTAGGGTGCATGCCAGATCCTCTAAAAGTAGTGTATTTTGGGAAGATCAGACAAGGATGAGACAGCATTTTTGGAAAGTGCGAGCAACATAGGTTGAAAACTTGAAATGTCAGTTTCCTTATGATTTTGTTGAAATCTATGCTGCTTGGAGTACTCTTTAAAAATGTGACTAGGTGTGTGTCGGATCCTCCAAAAGTTGTGTATTTTTGGAGGATCTGATACGGGTGAAGTAGCATTTTGGAAAGTCCGAGCAACATAGGTTGAAAACTTGAAATGACATATTCTTGATGATTTTTCAATGTTTCTTTTTTTCACCTTATGCAACGAAGATCAACTCGAGCCCTTATGAAGACGGATGGATGATTAAAGTGAAGCCGAGCAATCCATCAGACCTCGAATCTCTGATGGGGGCAAAAGAATACACAAAGTTATGTGATGAAGAGGAAGTTCATTAAAACTTGAAGGTGATTTTTGAATTCACCTTTTAGACTAGCATTTGCTGAGATGTTTTGATCAAACTTTCTTGTTAGTTGTTAAAATTCCACAAAAATAAATAATAAGATCCACTTTTCTTTTCTTTTTTTTCATTGCCTCCGCAGAATTGTGATTTGAGTTTTTTTATTTATGATTTTTATCTTCCAATTCTTTCTAGTAATTTTCGCCACGTTAAAGTTGATCTATAGATAGAATTTTTGCCTGTGTTGTTCATAGTTACCAAAAATGTTGCTGCACCTACTTTTGGAGGATCTGACATGCACTAGTCGACATTCTTGAAGAGTCTGTGAAACATAGTCAGTGTTAAAGGACAATACTAACTTTTATATTGCTCAGAGTTCCAAAAATATTGCTGCAGTCATGTCGGATATTCCAAAAGTACACTACTTTTGGAGGATCTGGCATGCACTTGTCGACATTTTTGAAGAATATGAGAAACATAGCTCTAGCCTGAATGTGTGACCAGATTTGACCGCGTAATATGAAATTCTTAACTTGAATAACAGGAACGAGTGAAGATTTATCGGTAATTGACATACAGAAAAGGTTTAAAATCTGCTCGAAAATACAACGAAAACATTGTACATCAATGAACAGGAATGTGGTAAGGCTCAACATGAAATCATGAGAAGAGGCAATTTTTATTGACATGATGATGAGATCCTTTTGAGTCTTGCAAGACAATTATCAGTAGGACTAGGAATTGGTAGATATGTCACACTTGTTTTCGGATTAAGACGCTCGAGCCTGCACCAGAACAAGTTCAAAGCCAAACTATGCATTAATATACACAAAAATCAAATGTACTATGTGAAGTTGCAGACCTCAAATGTGTGTTGATATAATGTTAGTACCTATAGTTGAGAAGAAAGTAGTGAAGAAACACTGAAACTTCAAGCCTAGCCAACTCTGCTCCGGGGCACAACCGAGGTCCTGCTCCAAAGGGAAGAAACGCGCTAAATGTCTTGGCCTCATCATCCTGCTAAGAATCAAATCTGTTACTTCCTTAGCCATAATTTGAAGTTAGTATTGCACTTTAACCATGACTAAATCTTCTGTGGCGGATGTAGCTTATTAGCCACGGGTTCATCTGAACCTAGTATTTTCGACACAGAACATCAATGTTAATGTGAAAACACTAAGATGATAACAAATTCATAAGTATAATAAGTTCAATCTTAAGAAACTTAAAGGCTGAACCAATCAAGTTTAAATCCTGAATCCGCCTCTACTACATGCCGACTCCAACTTGCTTGGGACTAAGGCGCAAGTATCATTGTTGTTGTAAAGAAAATTAGTGCAAGGAGATATTGCTTATAATACTTACATCCCATCTTGAAGGATTAAATTCTTTGGGGTTCACATGATTGTTAGGATCCAAATTAACTTGCCTTATCCAAGTCAATACCTTCCATCCTTTTGGTATTGTGTACCCTATATAGCACAAAACAAATTCCATCTAGTACATAAGACATCTTATTTTGTCAAAAACTTAGGCTAAATGAAGGTGAAGACGAGAGAAAAAGGCGAAGTTTACCATCTATGTTGATTGTCCTTTTCGCGTTTCTATAAATGGCTAAGGTGACATTAGAGCAACGTAGAGTTTCATCGATTACCTTGCATTTGAACACAATTCCATATGTTAAAATTCTCGAACTTTCAAAAGGTCTACATTCTCATGCGACTAGACTATTAACAAACCTTGGTTAGATATTTCATCTGTCTAATCTCATCGTAGCTAAGTTTTTTATCCAAATCAGGCAGCCTTCTCTTAACAATTTCCTCTTGTTCCTCCTGAAAACAGAGAATTTCTCAAACGGTACATCAGACCTCTCTATAACAACATTTCACTATAGCATCAAAAGATATCTGGACAAACGACGTTGTTATAGAGAGGTTTAACTCTAGTAACAAAACATTTATTTAGATTACAAATGACTTGTTATGTTACCTTTGCTTTTTGTAAGAACTCAGGATGTTGTTCTAAGTACATAATTGCCCATGCTGCAGTGTGAGCAGTAGTTTCATGACCTGCAAACACGTAAACGATTAACAAGTCGATGATCTCCTCATCGTTTAATCTCCTTCCTTCGTCGTCTTCAATGGCCATAATCAAATCAACCATATTGCCCTTTGATCTTGATTCATCCTTCATATTCATCACCTTCCTTTCATCTATTACTGATTGAAATATCTTCACCAGGTTTTCCCTAGCCTAAGTTAATGACCATAAACTAAAGCTTATTAGACTCCAGAATTTTCGACGTGGAAGATAAATTTATATGTGAAAAGTCATTAAAGTTTCAACAAACACTAAATTTGAACTGATAATTAAAGAAGTACAATGATTTCAATACTACTCCCTCCGTCTCAAATTACCAGTCATATTTCTCTTTTACACGTCCTTTAAGAAAACATTAATTAAAAGAGGTTTTTGATTATTTGACCCTCATTTATGTCTTAAGATATAATCTCTCTTCATTAAATATTTACTCTGTTGAGGTGTTTGTAGTCTTCAAGAATAATTACAACTAAGGATAAAATGAAAAATAAAATCATTTTTCCTAGGACTTCATGAACTTTTAAAATGACAATAAATTTGAGATAACTGTTTTAAGAGATCACGAAAGATAATTTGAGAAGGAGGAAGTAAGAATCTATAATAAAGATCTAACCAGTCAAATTTAAATCTTGAATTCGTCTCTAAACGAGTGGGTAAAAAAAATGGGACATAGCTAGAACTAACCTTGAATGCCCTATGGTAAGCAAATCCAGGGAGATTGATAGGCAAAGCCAAAAAACCTTTCAAATAAATAGTATACACCTTTTCAACCATATCTAACCATTGAGGATCAATCTCACTACCAATCATGATTCTTATTATAACTTCAAATGTAGATTTCTTCATTTCACTAAGAAACTCAATTGGTTTTTCTTCAATGGCATTCCATTTTTCAAATGAACTCTTCACAACTTTTTCAATTAGACCAAGGTACAATGACAATGCATGTTTGCCTTTTATAGGAGATGTTGTTATTCGACGAAGACGCTTGTGTTCTTGGCTTGTAATTCCATGGAGAGCTTTTTTTCCAATGAGATTTAACACTGATTTAGGCCATCCCAATTCAAAGTTGTCATCATCCATCAAGATTTTCTTGCATACTTGTGGTTTTGTAACAATGATGCTTGGTGTTCCAAACATAAATGCTTTGTACATTCCTCCTTGTCCATACCTTCAATGTTTCATTATTATTTTTTTACCAAATATCAAGAATGTTAGCATTCACTATAGAAATCAATTAGTATAGTTAAGACAATATATAACAAGTTAGAGTGGCGAAACCACAAGTTTCTTTCGTTAAGGGTGATCAAGATTTAATGGTCAAAAATCATACCTAACTATCACTTTTTCGTGAATTTCATACTCCAACTATCAATTATTTTAATACATTAGAAAAATGAAACAACTGATAGTTGAGGTTTGGAATTCACGAAAAAGTAATAGTTCAGGTGTGTTTTTACCATTATCGATCTTCGAATGTACGTAGATGTGTAAAGATTGACTTTCGACCTATGCACATAATATAATTTTCTATATACAAAAGTATTAACAAATAGTACAACAACAAGTACTAGTATAGCCCCATAAGCGGAGTCTGGGAGGGTGTACACACGCAAACCTTACCCTACCTTTGTGAGGTAGAAAGACTGTTTTCAATAAACTGTAAACTCAGGATAAAGGATAAAATGAGGTAAAAATTTTAAAAAAAAATCCTTTTTTACTAAAAGAAAAGATGATTAAGGTAGACAACATACCTAGAAGTAAAGTAAGAGATAAATGATTCAGGATCACCATATTTGAATGTCGTAAAAAAAGTGAACATATTCCCAATGAATGGCAAGCTCATATCACCTGGAGGTATGTTATACTCTTTTGAACTAAATTTGCTTGTATAAAACAAGTCATTTCCTCTCTTTAACAAACAATAAATAGCAAAAATCACAATTGCAAAAGATGTGAAAAAGATTGATCCAAAATCACACACCATTTTCCACTATTTAGGCCAAACCAAGAAAGGTTTTATAATTTGCATACTAAAGATAAATTTTTGATTCAGTTGGTTTTATAAAGAGTTTGTTACATACAAACCATATAAAGACAAATATATATATATATACACGCAAATGACTATGTGACTATGTCATGGTTCAAGTCATGGAAATAATTACTAATATTTGCATCAGATTGGATAGGTTGTTTACATGATTACATCCCTCGGGTGCAATATCCTTCCTCAAATCCTGCTAACGTAAAATGCTTTGTGCACTGAATTGCACTCTCATTTTTATTTGAATTTTATAATATAGTCATGGAGACTAATAGAAGATAAAGACTGTCATCTAACGGTCTATAAAAATTTATATTATAGTCTAATATTTTCTCATAAGATTTTCATTTTGATAAAATAAAATCTTTAGATCCTTATCTAATTTTATTTTATTTTTAAAAATAAAATCATTTACTAAACAATTGTCTTTAAAAAAAAAGATATAACTGACAAAGATTTTTTTTTAATAAAGGAAAAAAGACGAATATACCCCCAAACTATTGTAAATGGTATGCAAATACCCTCCGTCATACTTTTGGGACATTGGTGCCTCTGCCGTCCAAAAACTAGAGCATATATACCCTTTATACTAACGGACATACACGTGTCATAATTTTATCCACCGATCTGATATTTAATAAATATCGGATCGATGGATAAGATTGCGTCACGTGTCCCTATTTAGTCTTCCGTTAGAGTGAAGGGCATATATGCTCTAGTTTTTGGACGGCAGAGGCACCAATGTCCCAAAAGTATGACGGAAGATATCTGCATACCATTTACGATAATTCGGAGGTATATTTGTCATTTTTCTCTATAATAAAAAGACGGCAGATAATGGCATAATTAAGGTTGATAGGGGACACACATTGTATTTTTCATATGGTATCATCTGCCGCTTCATCATATATATATATATATATTGTGCCCCTTGCTCCATTTAATTTGCTGATGCGAGAATCGAGACAGAGACGAATTCAAAATTTTAGTTGGATAAGTTTGGTTTTAAAAGTTCTTAGCTAAACTCTACTTTAATTATTACGGAGTTTAAATCTAATATTTATAAAATGTAATGAAGTTTTTATGTAAAATTTATCGTCCCGTATTAAAATATTAAATTCAGATAAATACATTAATTCAGAATTGCCAACCGGCTTGTGTTAACCGGCAACTATACTTGGCTTTTTTTTCTCACAATTATTATTATAAGGAATGGCCGCACAACTAACTAGTAGGCCAGCTCAGAGACGGGTTCAATCGAATTTAATAATTTTTATTTATATAATGTATTTATGTTAAAGAAATTCATTTTATATATACAAATATTCAATTTAAAATCTAATTATTGATACTTGAAGTCGTCATTTCAAAATTTAAAGCACGTAAAATTAAACTTATAACTTGGCTTCTACTAATAGGAGTACTGGAGTAATAATGTACATCAGTCAAAAGTCCCACTAAATATATTTGAGTGGAAAAATCATCTATATACGGTTAAAGCACTCTTACTGAAAAGTTCTCTATTTTTAGGACTCGAACACAAAATATTCTTATGTATCATTATTGTGAAGTTATTTCAAACGAACAATAACAACATGTCCAATGTAATTCCACAAGTGAAGTCTGACGAGAATAGAGTATACACAAATTTTACCCATATCTCGTAGAGATAGAAAAGATGTTTTTTTTATGTAACTTTGCGACCTTAAATTCAAGGTCCATGTCTCTCAAATTGAAGAAAGTAAACATGACATCTCACTATACAAAGTATCTCACATTCCCGCAAGGTCCAGGGAAGGGCCACATCCTCTCTTAGAATGTAATGTTGGTACCCTCTCCTGACACAAACATCAATAACTAATTCCACGTCTCGAACATGTAACCATAGAGAGCTTTACATCCCCTTCTCAACAGAAGAAAGCAACATAGAGAACAAAAAAATAGAACACATTTACACTGCAAATCCAATGTTATTGATAACACACCCTTATATACAAACAGAAAACATGATGCATCTCACATCTAAACACAGAATTTAACCAATACCACAAAACAAGAACACTTCAAATGACAAGAACTAAACAATACTACTAGAATGTGATCCAATGAAGACACACACATAACATAATACTACTAGAATGAGATCCATCAATAGTAGAATTCACTCGATTCACTAATAAGGACGAGGAATTACAACTATATTTGACCATTACACATGACTACAACAGCCTCTGAAGATTGAGTACTAGAAATCGACATCAATTGTGTCCTGAAATCCTCTGTTCTGTCCCCTGAAGCCGTTATAGAACCATTTAAGATGCAAGAATTCTCCACGATACCTATATCAGGTAGCAAATTCGATATAGCAATGAGCAATTCGCGTGTTACATCGAAAGGAGCTTCCTCTCTATTTTCCATAAAATGCAGATTCTTCCTCTGAGTCTGAGTTATCTAAATGCAATATACAACACAAAACTATTAGCTTGAAAAAACAGATTTTTTTCAAGTTTAAAGAGGAATAATGAATGATAACAATCAGAGGCTATGTTGTTTGGAGTTTCAAAAAATGTTGTCATGCCTGTATCGAATTCTACAAAAATGCATTAAGATCAGACATTTAAAGAGTCCGAGCAATATAGATCAGAAGTACTATTGCAACAGCTAGTACTTAGCTGATGCCCCAAAGCAATAGTACGTATTGTTCAATCGCTCTCAAATTATCTATCGTGATTTTCTTATACATGTTTCTTAAGAATTATTAATTTAGGAATTAGGAGGAGTTTTTAACTATTTCATTGATATTTGAACAATCATAATATCACTCATATTTGACGTGTTTGTACGTTTGAAGAATAATAACTATAAAATGGATAATTTTATTTTGAACTTTTTATAAAACTATAAATAATTTGAAACAATTATTTTTAGATTTCACGACAACTAATTTAGAAAATTACAACAACTAATTCGAGACCATTATTCTTAGAAATTAAGATAGCTAATTTTAGGAATGGTCAGAAAATATTTTCAACAAATTTCCACAGAAAGAAAAGAAAATTAAATCAGGGAGGTAAAAAAAAATGTTAATAGTAAAAAAAAATCAAAATTATCACAAAGTTTCAAAAGGCAATTATTCATTATTCTATTTAATGACCTAAACTATCGATCACTTCTTATGCGTCAATTGTTTTTTTTAATACTAAGGAATTGATAGTTTAGAACTTTAGATAGTTAAAATAAACCATGAATAATTAAGATATAAAATTTACGAAAAATAATAGTTTAAGTGTTTTTCTTTACCAATAACTCGGAAAAAAAAGAAGAAGAAGAAGAGGAGGAGATCTTTCCCTTTTCTTGTATATAATTTAAAAACTCATTTCCGTATGTAGTATTACTTTGCATTTCTGGCAAGAGGCTATATTTACAACTTGCATGAACTCATAATCACGTAGAGACAAATTTACCAACTACAACTCACCAAGTAAATTTACAAACTACAATAGATTACAATTTACAAAACCAAATAGCCAAATCTTATATATTAACAAAAAAATACAAAGCAAAAACACAGAAAATACTGAAAGAGAAGAGAGAAAAAAGAGGGTACCTTTAAAAGTAAAGCGCCTTGTTTGATGAGTATATTATTAATTTATTATGATTTTTTATTAAATATAAGAGGTGCTTTTCTATTTTAATTCAATTTCCTCCAAACTAGATTTACGGATTGTCAATCAAATAAAACCCTATTTTTGGTAAACTATATTTATTATTTTCTTACCCTTGGATTTTGAGCAAATAGTACTTTGGTCTTTGTGGTTTGGATAAATGTTACTCCCTCGGTTCTTATTTATATATCGTTTTTATTAAAAATTAATGGTCCGTAGTATTTGTCATTTCACAACATCAAGACATAAATGACATTATTCTTCATATTATAACTTTGAGATTTATTAGCCTTAATAATATGAATTTGACTAACATAGAAAAACTAAATGATTGATTCATGTTCATAACTGGTCAACTTAACTAATTAAAATTAATTAATTTCTATTCACTTATTGAAAACTTGACTTCAAGAGAATATTAAATAAGGGTATAATAGTAAACT